GCCAAATAACCACTGTAGTCAGAGTCACAGAGCCAGGCATATCTACGGGATGATAAAAACTTTGGTTCTGCTGTCCTTGGTGTAAGAGGCTGCTAATGACTCCAAATTACTATCGCTCAGGCTGCTGTCTGCGGCCCTGACCCCAACCCAGGAGCAAGTTAGAGGTAATGCTGATACCACACCCCACAGCTGAAGCTTGTAAGTTTATGGTTCCAGTTTTATTGATGTGGTGTCCTGAACATGAAGTCAAACTCATGCAGAAGAACCATCATATGAGAGAGGAAGGGAGAGACAGAGAGAGACATCCCCACAGTCAAAGGAACCAGATTCTCAACCCATACCTCTGGAATCAAATTCAAATCCTGGATCCACCAATAAGTGACCTTACCATATCACTGAGTAATAGCTAATATTTACTGATCATTTCACTATGTGCAATATTAACTCCTTCTGTCTTAACAACGTTATGAGGCAGGAACTATTGTGATTGCCTATGACATATAAACCAAGATGCAGACCTTGTCCCAGGTCACACAGATAGTAAGGGTTGGAGTACAGACTCAAATCCCAGGCAGCCTGGCTAAAGCCCACGTGCTTGGCCCCTGTGCTCTCACAGGCTCTCCCTGGGCTCCACTGCCCTCATCTGCATACATAAAGAGCTACCATAAATGCATCAAGAACAATATGGGTACTGATCATAACAGCTGGGAGAACAGAGAGAGAAAGAAACAGATGAGAAAAAGCCAGTGTGGCAATATGTCAATAGTAAATCTAGATGGTGGACAAATGAACATTCACTGTAAAAGCTCTTTCAACTTTTCTGTAAGTTTGAATATTTTCATAATGAAATGGGGAAAAGCAGCTTCAGGGATCCATGTTGGTGTATAATGCTGAGTGATTAAAGCAGACGCATCATTGTGCAAAAAATAAATACACAATTATGGGGATTTAAATGAGACACTTAGGATAAGTCAGTTTATGTAGTGTTTTGCATCAAATGAGTATTTATTAAGTGTATATAAAGCACCTAGCGTTGCATTGCTGAAGACAGGTGCTTAATAAATGATAATTCTTTGACCCTTGTGAAGCTCAAAACTACCAATTTGCATGGAATCATAAAACTCCTGGTCATCAACACACATTTATTAAGCTCCTAGCACATAATCAACATATACTGAGGGGCCATGGGATACTCAGAAGTAAAGATTAGGTCCGCCCAACCAAGAGTTCTGACTGAGGACATTAAACAGTCTATTTGAAAAGTAAATGTAAGACTAGATCTCTGGTCCATTTTTTCTTTTTCACAAGGGTCAATTCAAGGGGGAAAAAAAGAATGTTCTGGGGATATGCTTTAAACTAAAAGATGATGAAACTTTCTGTATACCATGGGGAAAATGTACATAAGTAACAATGTATACAATTTTATTTTACAAGACAGAAAATTGTTAGTAAGATTATTGCAGCTCCTAAAATGTTATTAACTGGGTATATAAATCTCAAAGGAAGTAACCACAAAGAAGAAACTTTACAATCATCCATTAGACCCTGAGCTGCTACTCTGATTTAGAGGTCTCTAAGGGCTCTCTGAATTCTATTTTATACTCTACATGTTTCTTGAAGGGAGGTACTTTTAAGTGGAAAAAGGGCTTGGATTTAAATAACAGTGAATCACACGAGAGAGAGAGTTATTCCCTTTTCAGTCCTTTTGAATCCTTCTGATTATGCCAACAAGAAAGTCTCTGTATGGTGCCAGGACGTCTTTAACACCTCTCCCTGTTTAACAAAGGGGCCAGGCTTCCAGCTCCAGCCTTGGCAAGTAATAACCTCAAGCTAGAATTTACCCGTTATTTTCCTTTCCTTTGTATCTTATTTGTATAACTGCCTTCTATTTATGGCAACCAATAGTGTTTTTCCATTTCCCAACACTGACACAAAATTTCCTTTCTAAATATTTTTGAAGTAAAAAAGAGAGACTGATTGAAAGAAAAACAATAAGTAAGTGATAGTATAGGCAGTAGAACAGAAATGGTAAAAGTGGTACAGGAGAGGCAAATGGTTGAGAAATACAGATCTGCTCCAATCTTACCATTTTACAGATGAGCAAACTGTGGTCTAGCCTTTTCCAAGATCCCACAGCAGGTCAGTGACTGAGTGGGCTTTGAACCCACATCTCCTGATACACCGTCCTGCACTCTTTCAGGGCTGTTGATATTTATTCCCTGATCCCCACACTGAAGCAAGGTGTGGGACAGGACAAGGAGCGGAAGGAGGAGGAACGGCCCTCTTGCCCCATCCTGTCCTGCTCAACCCGAAGCAACCCTGGGCACCCCTAGGCACAGGTCTCAGACCGGCAGCACCCCAGCCGCTAGGTTCTCAAAGCCCCTGTCCAGGGGGAGAAGCCACTAGGACCCCACCCCCACAGCAGTCCCTCATGCCTCTCAACTTGATGTGTCTGAAACCTCCCTTGCCCAGACCTGTTTCAGCCCAAGGCGAGGATTTCTCCCCCTCCCTTTGCTTCCATCTGTTTCATGCAGGAAAACGGAAGAAAGCTTTGCTCACTGTTGATGTCCAAGAGGATGTGGTTCCTGCATGGGAGATTTATCTGGTCAGTCTGGCTTTCCGTGAAGGAACATCAGGGTAGAGCAACAGTGCTCTGAGTCTGACAGTCCAAGATACTCAACCACGGCCCCAGGCTGTAGCATCAAATGTGAGAAAATACAGGGAAAGCACCCAGCACAATGCCTGGCATACAGGAAGCAGGAAAGGTATGGTAGCATTGACATTTTCTTGGGTATTTTTCCCTTATTATCAGGTTAATTTGGATGAAGGGACCTTTTTGGGGTTTTGGGCAAAGTACAGATCAAGACAACAGGGACTCGGCAAATGGCCAAGCAACCTGTGCACCGTATAACCCCGGGGCAGGGGGTGGGGGTAGGCGGGTTGAATGTGAATGTGGCCCTGAAGCAGCGCAGTGCACAGCGTGCACGATCAGATCTGGCACCCCTCAGTGTAATTCACTAAGGATGCCTAAACCAGGTGTCAGGAAATCTTGAGTCCTAGCACTGATTTCTCCACTAAATTGCTGAGCTACCTTAGGTAAATCCCTTTCCCTCTCTGTGCCTCAGTTTACTCCTCTGTAAGAGGACCAAATGTTGTCTGAAGTTCCCTTCCAGCTATAAAATTCAGTGATTCTATAGAAGCCGACTTCGATTGCTGAAGGGCTGTCATATGAAAGAGGAAATGAGCTCACTTGCCTGGCTTGAGAAGGGGAGAGCCAGCATGAGTGGGGTAGGGATATTAGGAGACAGCTTTTGCCTCAGTCAGAAAGGAAAATTTAATCAGGATACCTAGCAACAGATGAGGCAGCTCTGGGAGATGGTGAGTTCCCTGTGGCTTGAGGAATTCAAGTACAGACTGGGTTAGAGAAAGGCCTGTTAGAGTGGGAGCCTTGACCATCTGCCCTTTAAGATCCTTTCTAGGGGCGCCTGGGTGGCTCAGTCGTTAAGCGTCTGCCTTCGGCTCAGGTCATGATCCCAGGGTCCTGGGATCGAGCCCCGCATCGGGCTCCCTGCTCCGCGGGAAGCCTGCTTCTCCCTCTCCCACTCCCCCTGCTTGTGTTCCCTCTCTCGCTGTGTCTCTCTCTGTCAAATAAATAAATAAAATCTTTAAAAAAAAAAAGATCCTTTCTAGATGATTCTGGTTTCAGAGCTTGGTTCTATTTTCATTAACGCTAGGAGGCACTCAGCTAGGTCTGGATCCCGTCAAACCCTGCTGGTAACTATTAATGCAATGAACTGGTCAGCTGTGCAGCTCTCACCTTGTAGAGTTTACACACGGCCACACTCTCCAAATCAAACTCAGTCCCTCCAACAGTGTTAGTGTTTACCCTTGCCCCAGCAAACAAACCCTTTCATTCTGGAAAGAACTAATTAACAGCCTCACCCAGACTTGGGGGAGGGAGAAGATGGAGCCAGGGTGGGGAACCATGTAAAAAACTCAGGAGAATAAACCACATAAACACTTCTAGCATCTACACTCCAGCGACAGCTCATGCTAATTGCAAATCATCTTATCTATTCATTACTGCAGGCGCCCTGGGAACTCCGAGCAGTAGCAGCGTGTGGGACTTGGTGAAGTCACTGCACACAAGGGGTCAGAATCAGGATATCCTTTAAAATCACTGCCATTTTCATTTGTATTAATTCCAATCAGGTGCTCCCAAAGAGAGTAAATGGTTGAGGCTGAATTGCATTGCCTTTAAGCTGCATCCACAAGGTACAACGAACAGCAAGATTTAGCAGTTATCCCCTTGGGATGATCAATAAGGGTATTCAGTCAGTCTTGGGAAGGTGGGGTCAGAAAACTCCCACTGTTGTTAATAATTTCAGTGTTTCACTCTTATTTCCAAGGTGAATGAGTCAAAAAAAAAAAAAAAAAACCCATCCTGGATGTACCTCTTAAAGGCTTCTATTCAGAAATTTAGCTCAGGGCACCCTTCGCTCTTTAAACAATTTAAATAGATTGTCTTTTCTAGTTCCCTTGAATAGAGTGTATATTTACATAGTAAAAGGGTATCAATCTCAATTTAGGATATTTTCCTGATGGTGAAAGATATTTAGTTTGGCAGGATACCAGGACCTTCTCTCTTGGTGACTTTCCTGGAGAGGACTAGCAAACCCATCCTCCTAGATGAGAAATGTCTCTCAAATAATGGAAATACAAATGCTCATATTTACACTGTATTTGGCGTTTTAGACAATACTTTCACACAGATGATCGTCTCTGATCTCTTCAAACACTCTGCCGTGAGGCAGCAGAAATCCCATTTCACAGATGTAGTAACTGGGCTCAGAGAGTAAAGCCACACACCCCAAGTCACACAGCTAGAAATAAGCAGAGCCTGAGGCTAAAAAGCAAGTCCATTCTGTTCCCTGTACTTAAGCTTACCTCTCGGATGGTCACACTTGCCCAACCACAAAGAAAATATAATTTCACAGTACCTTTCTGCTTCTTGGTCTGCGCTCTGTTGTTTGCTTTCAAAGGCGTTGAAGCTGCTCATGTCCACATAGCCATCGTTTTCATTTGCCGTGGACAGGGCTCTGCTCTGATCTTCAAACAGTTTTGTAAATGTCCCAGCCCTCGCAGGCCTCCGGGGTGGAATCTGAATATTTTCATAGTCTGAGTTCATGGCTGGGATGTTCTCATAGTCTGAAGTGTCGGCGTTGGGGAATGAGATGGACCGAGGCTTGGTCAGGGGCAAGGGCAGAAAGGGGGGCCGGGAGCGGTCTTCGAAGGACTCCACTCTGGACACCGTCCTGCTGAAGGGGACACCTTTCCTCTTGCCATCCCTGTAGAAGATGAGGGAGGAAGGGGAATCGGAAGCCCGGAGCTTGCCAGTCCGAGCCTTAAGCTGTGGGGAGTTGCTGAGGCTCCTGCGGTCAATTTCCAGAAGCCTGGCAGGCCCATGGTAGCTGGATTCTGAAGACGACCTGGAAGAAGACACGTTGACATCCACGTGCACTTTGTTCTCCGACTTCTTTTTAAAAGTCAGTGCCAGGAACCTCTTGAAAGATGACTTCTTCTTCTTGGTGTACTTGTCTGGGGGCTCACTCTCGATCAGCAGGGAGGGAGAGCTCTTTGTGATGGGCTTTTTGGTGATGCAGGCCAGGTCGAAAGGGGGCGGGATGTCGACCACAGAAGAGGGTGTTGAGGTGCCGCTGGACGGAAGGTGGTTCCTCTGGGAGAAACTCCCAGAGGAGCCAATCATACAGGGCAGAGAAAGGTTGTCATCTTTCCTTTTGATCCTATGGTCATCCAAGCCCGATGCCTCCGACTCCCGGTACAAGGAGACTGGAATCTCTCGGCCTTCCACAGAGAATGATCGGGGGTATAGAGTGAAGGCTCTGGGCTTTGCTGGCAAGGCCCTGCTGGTTTCCAGTGGTTTCCCCTCCAACGAAAGAACCGTCTTTCTCGCCTCCTTGGTGGCACCTCTAATGCCAATGGCTGATGAGCCAGCTTCTGGTCCAGTTTCTTCTGGGACAGTTTCTGGGACATAGCCAGCCACCTTCCCGGAGTGGGGCCTGGCCCTAGTGATGATGTTCTTCCTGTCGATGGAGACCAGGCCACCCTCAGCATCAGAGTTCATTTCTTCTTTTGTGCCATAACCACTCAGCATGTCAGATGCAGCCTGTGTCTCAGGCTTCTCTCCTTCCCCAGGGTCAGACCCTTGCTCCAGGTCAACTCCCATCTCATAGGGGTTGGTGAGCCCATCGTCTATGGCATCCTCATCCTCTGGCATGACCACCACGTCAGGGACAGAGGGGCCCTCCCCAGAGCCACACGAAGTTCCAACAATGGGGTCCTGCTCTGCACGTTCTCCAGACTGTGGTTCCTGCTGTGACTCTAAGTCTTTTGCTGACTTGGAAAAAGAGGAGTAGCTCTCGCTACAGAAAGAGGTGCTCTCAGTCGGAAAGAACTCGTAGGGACTTCCTGAGAGTGAAGTCACAAATTCATCCATGCCATCATTCTCGAAAGGAATGATTTGGCAGCTCTCCTCGGCAGGTTCTTCCTGCACCAGGTCTTCACCTTCTCGAGGGTCCTCTCCCACCTCCCGGGTGACTGCGGCCATTTCTTCTTGGTCCGTTTTCTCATTTTGGTCAGGTGGTTCATCCTGGTCATCCTGGTCACCACTGGCTGTGGCATTTTCACCCCCTTCCTCTGGGACTTCAGGGCTGTCTGTGGCCATCTCTGCCTCCTGAACACCCATTGCCAAGCCCTCATTCTCTGTGGGTTCCTTGCTGTCATCTTCAGCATCCCCCTCAGGGGGCCTGTCAGAATCCACACGTTCATCTGGAGCCCCTGGTTCTGTGTTGGTGGAGCCTTCCTCACCACCCTCCTCTGCCTCTGTGGGTGTCCCAGGGGGCCCAGGCTCATCACTGGGAGTTGCTGGACCCTCTAAATCAACGTGAGTTAGAATGATATCACTTGGAAGGACTGCTTCTCCATCCCAAGGGCCCCTGTCCTCCAGGTTGTACACGTTGTGTTCTTCCACTAGCTTCTCTTCCTCCTCACTTGTAAATGTCTGCTCCTCTGCCCCTGGATCACAGGCACCATCCTCCACCCCCACATTCTCAGGGGTGGGGGCTATGCCTCCATCAACCTCTTCACCCAGCACCACTTCAGCTGGGGCTGCCAAGTCCTCAGCAGCTCCCATCCCCTCCAGGTCGCTCTCCTCGCCTCCCTCCCGGCACTCCTCTCCAGCGGCATCTGGAGGCACCATTACTGCATTCTCTGCAGAGCTGCTACACCTGGGTTCGTCCTCTTTCGGCGGAGCCTTGGGGACCACAATGTACTCCTCATCAGCCTCAGACTCAGAGCACTCCAAGTTGGACCGGTGCTCTCCGTAAAGCCCCCTGTCAACGCAGAGCACTTTCCCGTTGCTGCATTTGTTCAAGCTGTTGATCATGTACACGCTGGCTCTCCACTCACTGGGGGTCGCCAGCCTGGGCTTAGGGGCAATGGGGGGCTTCGGCCCCCTAGACATGGAGTTGGGACTGTGAAGACTATCAGGCCGGGGTGATGAAGGGAATTTGGGTGCTGTCACAGGTGTGAGGGGACTGGCAGTCTTTGGCTTGGGAGCAACTGGTGGTTTTGGTGAATCTAAAGGATGAAAATAGAGAAAACAAGGACACAAAAAGTACAGTTACCCTTATTTCCATTCAGAGTCTACCGCTTAGCATTTTCAAGAAAACACTGAAGATAGTTTCCCAACCTATGTGAGCCCAATCTACTATGTTCTGTCTTCGGTTTATGTCCTCCACCACCATCTTTAAAATCCCTTCACCTCTACTGATAATTCATTCTGTAAACAAAGTGAATAGATCTTCCTTTTGTACACAGTCCAGCTAACAAAACTCAACTCAATGACATACTCCTCAAACAAAGGTGTGCAGATCATTGTAATCATTGATCCAACAATGTATTAAATGCTTTCTAGGTGCCAGGTACCCATGAGACAACGCTGAACTTGACAGTCACCATCCCTGCCACCCTCATGGAGCTTACATTCATTCTACAGTTAATTCATTGGATACCTACTATCTATATGCATAGCACCGTAGACAGGAAGGTCTTCTAGGGTCAAGAAGAGAAGGATACCTCTCTTGAGCACTTGCAGTTGAGTCAGGGAGGCAAGACTAACAGAACAATTGGAGGACAGAGCCACAGACCCTTGGAATATTATGATTAAATAGCTATTATCTCACTCCTTCAAGGACAATACACCAAAGGTCTGTGACAATGATGCATGACTCTTCTAAGGGTCACCTCTGAATTCTACATGCTTTAAGACTGGTGTCTAGCTAACTGCCCTGCATCCAAATTTCATGGGCACCTGGATTTCATGGGAGAAACCATATGGTATTTTCCAACATGGATATTTGCAAAAAGTCTCCTGCCTTATGGATGCGGAGGATCTATCTGACATGTCAGAATAAAGGATGTGATACAAATGCACGTGCAACAGGAGTCAGAAAAGCAAGAGATACCATGACTAGGAAGACCTCCTGGAGAAGGTGAAATTTCAGCTGTATTTTGCAGAATGGGAGGGATCTGGTGCAAGGGCCAAGGGAGTAGCTGCCCACTTCCAAGTTCATCTGTCCTGCAACAAGCATGCCTCCATGCCTCCAAGCCCCTGGCCACACTGTGGGCAGAGTGAGGAATGAAGCTTTCCAGGAAGGTATCTCCATCCTGACATCTCGGCTTCAAATGCACTTCTTGGCTTCCCACTGCTCATAGATGACAACATACAAATCTCCCCTTGAGCCAGCCCCTCCTCCCAGTGCCATTCCCACTAAGGCCTGGGTTTGACACAGAGCAGCTGCAGAATGCCAGCCTGGCTCATGACAGAAGGGAGATGGAGCAGAGGTCCTAGAAGTCCATCAGCAAACTTCTCCTCCCTGTGCATTTGACTCCCAGGTAAACCCTTGCAGCCCCTAATCCTAGTCATCTGTAGTTCAGGGCTCTCTGGCAGAGACAGAGTGTGAGCCATGTTTATATCACATACGTAATTTTTAATTTTCTCATAGCCACATTAAAAAAGTAAAAAAGAGTATATGAGGCTAAGCGGAATACGCCAGACTGAAAAGCCTACCTATCATATGATTGCATTTATTTGACATTCTGGAAAAGAAAAAACCATAGGGACAAAGAACAAATCAGTGCTCATCAGGGCCTAAGGGAAGGAAGGGGGTTTGACTCCAAAGTGGCAGCATGAAGAAGCTTGTTTGTCTGGTAGAACCCTATCTTGATTATGTTGGCGATTACATAACCCTAAGCATTTCTCAAGGCTCTTAGTACTGTATACCCCCCCCAAAAAAAGTGAATTGTACTGAATGTAAATTTAAAAATAAAAATACATATAATGAAAAAAAAAAGTAAAAAAGAAGCAGTAAATTAATTTTAACAATACTTCTTTTTTAATTCAATATATTCAAAATACCATCATTTTGGATATCATCATGTAATCAGTGAATCATGTCTGGATCAACATGTCATCAATATACAAAATTTATTAAGGAAATATTTGACATACTTTTGTGTACTAAGTCCTTGAAATCTAATGTGTATTTTACACTTTTCAGCACATCACAATTCAGATTAGCCACATTTCAACTACTCAGTGGCCACATGTGGGTAGTGGCTACGGTGCTGGCCAGCACAGTGCTAATTGGTTTTAACCCATCTCCGTGGGACTGTTCCATTGGCACCTCAATTTCAATACATCTGAAGCCAAAGTAAGTATCTCCCCTAAACTGGCAGAACTGTGTAAAAATTAGCTGAGGATGCCCCAAAGGAAATTAAAAAGGCCTGGAATAGCAAGAATATAGGTGCCCATATACCCTGTTCCTGAAAGGGCCCAATTTCAGAGCCTCTTTAGTTACACTTTGCAAATAAATCTAATGAACTTAGTGGTCAGGTTTTCCAGTGTGCAGCTAATTAGGAGGGGTAGGGATTGGCAGTTAGAACAGGAATACTGCCAGGTGTAAAATGTGGTAGTGGCCAGTAAGAAAGGAAGAGAAGAGACACAGCTGTCAAGACTCTAAAGGCTAAAGCACCCACTGCACCAACCCCCTAACCCACTCCTATATTTATCCACATTAACACCCAGGCCAGCCACTGACATCTAGATAATAACACAGAGTCTTCAAAATCTAAGTGGCCTTCCAACTCCTTGTTTCCATAAGCAAATATGTCCTAATTTAGAAAAATATCTGTCCAAATTAGTAAAACACAAAACAAATTTAAAAAAATGCCACACACAAAGACAACAACAACAACAACAACAACAAGAACAACAACAACAAAAACCCACCCAACTATGTGGAGTTTAAACAGCTAACCATTAGCTAGTCTGTCATTATAGAGTAACAGAGTGAGCCTTTGGAGCCTGGCTGATCTGGGTTCAAATCCTGACTTTGCCACTTTTAAGCAATGAAACCGAGCCTCAGTTTCTTCATCTGTAAAATGGGTACAATAGGTACACCTACTCTCAAGAGGTTATGAAAATTAAAAGATATATATTAAAAGTGCCCAGCAGTAGGTCTTCAAGTAGAAGTACTCAATAAAGAGAAGCTATTATTATTCTAATAATGTCAGTCTTTGCCTATCCCACATCTTCCCCTGGTATTAAGTCTTGCTTTACACCGATATGTAATATTAGGTTCAAGCTCCCAACATCAGGTGTCAGGCACTGGCATGAAATTATTCTTTGAGGGTGGGGACTCTCATTTCTCATCCTTAACAGGTGGTATTTCACATGAGCGCCATGAGACCTGACAAAGGGACAGATGGGCCATGAAAAACGACCATCACCTTGGCTGCATCACCCCCACCCCCACTCCATCCTTCATCCAATCAAGCTATTGATCTGTGGGCGCTGTCTCCTCAAGAAAGGTTACAGTGGGCGTCTGAGGCGTGATCCTGCAAGAAAATGCCTTCCCCACAGGATCCCCTAGGAATGACAAGTATCTAGTGTCCATGTCCTGCTTCCAGCTCTGAGATTCAGGGTGTTTCACCTGCATCCTCTCTGAGATCAAAGGATGCCAGAATCAGAAAGGCTTTGTCTGACCCCCCAGGAAAAGATGAGGAAACTGAGGCACATAGAGGCGAGGCATACGGTTTTCAGAAAGTCTGGAGCAAGGCCCACGTAGAATGCGGGTTTCTTGCTTCCTGGTCTAGTCACTTGAACCTCTGCCTTCACCCTTTTGCCCTTGAGTTTTCTTCTACAGTGGAGACTCAGGGCTCCCAGCTTCTAGTGAGGCAGAGAAGGGTAAAATTCAAGGAAACTGAGACCAGAGAGACCAGAGACAGCTAGCCAGGTGTGAAATTTACATAAAGCTGAGTCCAGGGTTCAGAAATACTAACCGACCATAAGGTGAATGACTGGCTTTCATTTGCTCCCATCTAATTCCCATTAATCCAACTCCATCAAACAGATATTTATTGAGCACCTACTATGTGCAGGGCACTCACCTAGAATCTTTGGACAAATCAATAAACAAAAACAAATATTTTGTCCCTGGCGAACCTTATATTCTAGTAGAGGAAGATAAGCACTAAAAAGGAAAAGCATATTACATTATTGTACATTAGATGATCATAAAGTCTATGGAAAAAGATTAGGAGTTTGGTTTTTTTTTTGTTTTTTTTTTTTTCAATTTTAAATCAGGATAGGCTTCACTGAGAGGACATTAGAGCAAAAACTAGAAAGATGTGAGGGAAGCCAGGACTCAGGTGGTGTGTTCAAGGAGGGCCAGAGCAGCTAGAAGGGAGGCATGAGCGAGCAAGCAACAGGGAGAAGCAGGAGATGAGGTCAGAGAGGTCACAGGGAGGGTGTAGATTATGCAGGACCCCCCAAACAGAAGAAGGACACGCATACTCTGGCTAATGTGCTGAAATAGGTAGAAGTGGTGTGGATGGATGCAGGGACACCCATGAGGAGGCTCTTGCAATAATCCAGGCAAGAGATGAGACAATGGAGGCTTGGACCAGGTTGGCAGTAGTGGAAGTGGTAAAGAAGAGTCAGATTCCAAATACGAAGGCAGAGCTGGCAGGATTTGCTGACAGTTTGAACATCGGGTGTAAAAGGAGAGAAGTCAAGGACAACACCAAGGTTTTGAGTCAGAGGAACTGGGAAAAAGAATTCAATTGGTGCTGGGGAGGGAAAGCCAGAATTTCAGTTTGCACGTGTTAAACCTGAGTTCCCTACCACACACCTAGGTGGAGACAGATATCAAGTGGGCTCCCAGATATACCAGTCTGGGTTCAGGGGAGAGGTCTGGCTGGAGGCATCCATCACAGAGATAGAATTTAAGGCCTGGGCCTGGCGAGATCACCAAGTGAATGAGTGTGAACAAAGAAAAGAGCAGGGCCCAGGAGGGAGCCCCAGTGGCCCTGAGGTTATGAGAAGGAGTCAGGGAAAGACACTGGGGAGGAATGAAAGAAAATGAAGGTTGTGTGAGAGCTTCAGCTCTGCTCCCTCCCTCTCCCCTCATAAAAAGGAGCCCCATAGAGCCCCTCTCCTCAGTACAAGTTTATTTGGGTCCCAGACCAATTCTGCCTAGAGAAGACCCATGGGAAGAGATAGCATTGGGGTGCATGTGGAAGGACGAGGAGGATTTTCCTGATCAAAAAAGAGGCTGGGTATGCCAGACAGAGGGAATAGAATGTGCAGAGGCCCAAAGGCAGTTAGATGCAAGCCATCTGGGAGTACGGTAAAGAGTTCAGTATGGCAGGGATGGGGGATTACAGGATAAATCTGGGCTGGGCCTTCCTCCTCCGGGTTAAGCTCAACTTTCTGACTATCCAGAACCCAGCATGGGTGGAGCTGGTGGACCCTCTGCTGTCTCATGAGTTCCTCTGGCTGTGGTATGAACCTTCCTTCTCCCAGTATCACAGAGCCCGGGGGGGTGGAGGGGGGTCATACCTCTCTGCCCAGGACCTCTTGGCAATTTGCTATGCATAAGGATAACTCAAATGCAGAATACCCTTTGAGCCAAAATGCCAAGAGTTAACTGACAATGGGGGAACCACAATGACAGGAGGAAGAGATTTTTAACAGCTTCTGGTGATAGAAATCATTCCCAGCCAGGCCCCATTACTAGTTTATATTTTCTCTATTTCAATTAAGCATCTGTCACTCACACCCACACATGCTGCTGTTTCCTTGTCAGTTATGCAGAGGTTAAATGAGAAGGGGCATTGGGAGGAGCACTGGACTAGGAGTTAGGAGCTCTGATCTCCACTCCTGGCTCTGCCATTAATTGGACATGTGACCTTGGGCAAGTCCCTTCCCCTCACTGAGCCTCAGTTTCTCCATCTGTAGAGCAGGGGTGCTGCACCAACCAGTCAGTAAGTGCCTTCTGCTCCGGCCGACTATAGCATATTTAAACTCATGGCTCTTCTCGTGTCCCCTGATATCCCCTTGTTCAGTCCCTGAGTCTGTTTCAACGGCAGTTCACTATATTCCCCCTGGAACTCTCATAGCCATATGTTCCAAGAGTAATTATCTTCCAATTTCACCTTCCAATTGCATCTTAATTTAACTTTCATTCCTGGGTGCCTGCTGGAATGTCCAAGCCAAGCCTGATGATTTCTAATTAGGCTGCTGTTAAGCTAGTCCAGTGATCCACGACAGGGCACATACTGGGAAGACCACAGGGACAAAGTGGGAAAAGCATGGGCCCCAGGCTCAGACAGACCTGGGCTCCAATCCCAGCTCTGGCACACATCATCTGTGTCATCCTGGGCATGACACTTTGCCTCTCTGAGCCTGTTTCTTTCTTGGTAAAATGAAATAAATACCTCCTTTTTCTATAAGGATGTTGAAAAGTTCAAAGGAAATAACAAACATAAGACACCTAACAGTCAGTTGGCTATAATTTCTTGGGCACTTACTATGTATTTAGCACTGGATAAAAAAGCAGGCTCTCAAGCTGGACAGTGTGTGTTTCAATCCCATCTTGGCTCAGTGACCATAAGATCCCTGCAGCTCAGTTTTCCGATAGGGATAGCAAGAGTACTTACCTTGTAAGTTTACTGTGAAAACTGAATTGATTGAAGTAAAACACTTAAAAGCAGCACCTAGTTCACAGTAAGTGACCAATAAATATTAGCCAGTATTCATTGGTAGCTTATGACAAACACTATTCCAGACACCTTATAAGCTTTATTTAATCATGAGAACTCAAAGATCATACTATCCCCATTTTTCAGATGAAGAAACTGAGGCACAGAGGTGAAGTGACCTCCTCAACGTCACATAAGTATATAGTGGTTCTGAAATTCAGTCCCATGGAGTCTGTGAGCCACTCTGTTACATGATCAGGAAATTCAGAGCATGGCACACAGAAATCATTATGTGAGCTTCCCATCACTGCCAGCACACTGAAAAAGTAACCAGTTTTATGCTGGAGGCAAGTTACAGGACGGCTAAACCCAAGAGTAGCAACTGCTAAGATTTCCTGGGACCAAACCTGCCTCTCAGTTTATTCCGGCTCATTCCATCCCCCAGATTCTCAGAAAAGGGAGGGCTTGCCCAAGCCTTAAGCAGGGAAACGTGGGAAAACTGGAACCGCTCTCACCATTGTTTTAAGTGAGTTTTATTAGGAGTGTAGGAAAAAGCTAGCCCGGCTCTGTTCAGGCTGTGCCAGAAACAGGCAGGAGGCGACCTTCTTCCTCCAAGGAGTGGCTGGCTGGGCACTGGGACCCTGCTCCAGCCTCTCCCAAAGTGGCACCCCTGCTGTGACCCACACTCCCTCACCATCCAGGCGTCCACATGCCCAGCAACAACAGGGCCTGGACACAGGAAGGCTGCTTCCACACTCCCAAAGTCCCCGAGTGTCTCCTTTGTCAAATCAGTCCAGCCAAATGTCTCCCGTCTGCACTTCACTCCTAAGACAATGACTTTTTTCATTAAAAAGACTTAAAAAAGAAAAAGCCCACAACACACACACACACACACACACACACACAAGGCAGCAGGATATGGTTCTAAGACAGCCAAAATGGTGGCTTCCTGTTTCTTTAGGGATGTGTGTTTTGGAGTATGGCTTCGGACAAGGGTGTTGGTCCAGGAGGGGGCTGCCTTCTGCTCAATTTTAAAAGAAAAGAAAAAAAAGAGGGACTATCGCTCCTTGGCAGGGAAATTAAGTTAGCTGAGCCCCTTGCTTTGCAAACTCGCCTCTCCGAGGGAACTTTCTGCCCTTGGGGTGGATGGAGTCAGGAATCCTGAGAACGGTTCCAGGCATCGCCCAGCTGAGTCTCAGTTACTAAATCTGTTAAATGGCACTCCTCTGAAGGGACTGCTAGTATTCGCTATCAAACGCATTCTGGATTTCCCGGAATCCCTGAACTGGCAGAGTCAGATTCACGAGGCAGAGACTCGAGGGATGGGAGGGAACGTCTGGAGTGCGGCTCAGCCTCGCCGAGGAGTGTCCCCCTTGGCGTTTCATCCCCTGGGGGAGGCACAAAGAGGGCCCCGGGCCAGAGCCCTGCGAGGGAGGGGTGCGCTGCGGGGCGGGGGAGGGGCGGATAATTTAGAGCTTTTTTTTTTTTTTTTAAGATTTTATTTATTTGACAGAGACAGCGAGAGAGGGAGCACAAGCAGGGGGGAGTGGGAGAGGCAGAAGCAGGCTTCCCGCGAAGCAGGGAGCCCGATGCGGGGCTCCTTCCCAGGACCCTGGGATCATGACCTGAGCCGAAGGCAGACGCTTAACGACTGAGCCACCCTGGCGCCCCAATTTAGGGCTTTCTAGTCTCCTCCAGGGAGTGAGCTCCAAAGTCTCGGTGTCTAGGAGAGAGAGGAGGGAGCAGGAATCGTCTTAAGAGTGCGCCGCCGGGTACGGAGGGGCCAGTAATAGACCCCGGGGTGGGAAGAGTTCCGGAAGGACCCTGGGGCCCAGGAGGGGCCTCTGAGGGGCCAACGAGGGCCTGGCGGGAACCCCGAGGAGCCGGAGTGAGGATTCAGGAGCGCGACCAAGTTGCCTTCGCGAAAGGAACGCTTCTCGGTTGCCGAGCGGTGCCCCACACTGGGGTCGCGGTGGGAGCGGCGGAGGGCATACGCGGCCAGGGTGCGGCCTCGCGGAGACTGAGGGGGCGTCCCCCAGGCGGGGCGTCTCGGACAAGGGGCCCCCCGATGAGTCTCAAGCCTCCTCGGCCGGGGGGCGCCGGACCCGCCCATATCTCGGCCGCAGCCGAGCAGAGTGGGAAGGTCGGGGCATTTTTCGGCGGCTCGCTCCAGGCGCCCCGGGGGCTCCAACTTGGAGCGCCTGGCGCGGTCCCCTCGCGCGCGTCCCGCGGCGCCAGAGGTCGAGCGGAGCCTCCTACCTGCTCTGTTCATCTTCCAGCACGCCCAGCCCGGGGCCGCCCGTCGGTCAGTCAGTCGGTCCGTCCCAGCGCGAGTCCGCGCGCCGCCTTACTCCATGGCCGCCCCGCGGGGCCCGCACTCCCTGGCGCCCGCCCCGCCCCCCCGGCGCGCGCCGGACTCCGCGCGGCGCGCAGGGCAAGTGGGGGCGCGGGGCGCGAGCCTCCGGGCTGGGCTGGGCGGGGCGGAGCGGGGCGGGGAGGGGGCGCGAACGCCGGGCGCTCGGGGCGGCGGCCGGGGCAGCGCGCGGCGTTGCCTTCGCTCGAGATTCCGCGCGCAGCGCGGGGCAAGTGGGGGCGCGGGCCGCGAGCCTCCGGGGGCGGGGCCGCGCTGGCCGGGGGCGGGAGAGGGGAGGGGGCGCGAGTGCACCGCGCGTGGGGCGGCGGCCCGGGCAGCGCGCGGCGTCGCGTCCGCTCCGGGTCCCCGCTCCGTACCGGGCGCGCAGCGCTCAGGGCGCCGCGCCTCTGCCGCCGCTGCGCCTCCGCCCCCTCCTAGACGTTTCCTCCCGCTCTGAGGAAGGCTTTTTTTTTTTTTTTTTTTTCCTTTTTGCTCTGTCAGGGATCGCAGGGGATGAGGGGCGAGGCGTCCCCGCGCACATTTAAAGGGGCCGTGATGACTCGGGGAGCCGCGCGAGGTTCAAGGGACTAGGATCAGTTGAGGGGAAGGAGGGAGCCCCTCGTGGGCTTTTGGGGACCTCCTAGCCCCTCGTCCAAGGGACCGTCCATCTCTTTCTTTTCAACCTCGGGCATGCATTCGGTCCTGGATCAAGCGCTGTGCAGAGAGCAGAATAAGACCGCTCCCAATTCTTACCCTCATGGAGCTTAGATGGGAAGTCAGTGGAGACACAGACAAATAAGCAATATCATTTCAGAGAGTGATAAATGCCTTGAGAGAGATAAGCCAGGGTAATGGGGCAGAGCACTGACTCTCAAAGTGTGCAGATCAGCATTGGAATTGCTAGAAATGCAAATTCTCAGGAGACTTCCCCCCCCCCCAACACACACACCAGACTTATTGAATCAGAAATCCTGTGTCTAAGAAACCCTTGAGGTCCTTCTGATGTAAGCTGAAGTTTGAGAACCACTTGTGTAGAGAATGGGTGATCAAGGAAGGCCTCCCTGAGGAGGTGACATTGAAAGGAAGACCTGGTTGATGAGCCTTTCTTTGTTCACTCAGCGCACACTGGCCAGCATCTCCCTGGGACCAGGCCTGGTGCTAGATGATATGGATGACTCTGACCAAGCCTTCGCCCTTGAGGTCCTGGTCTGATTTGCCATGCAAACATAGGCAGAGTGCTGGGATTGGGACAGGAGTGCAGGAGAGCTTGTGGGAACTCAGAGATGCCCCACCTCCCCAGAGTGAAGAGGGTTCAAGCAAAGGAAAGGCCTTTCAAGTAGAGGAAATAAACTGAGCAAAGACTTAGAGGTGTGAAAAGGCATAGCCTGTTGGAGGAGCCCTAAGGGTTGGCTTGGCAGGGAAATAGACAGCTGGTGGAAGCGTCCCAATAGGAGCAACAAAAAGACTAAGATGAGAGGTGCTTTTTTTTTTTTTTTTTTTTTTTTTTTAAGTAATCTCTTTGCCCACCGTGGGGCTCGAACTCAAAACCCGAAGATCAAGAGTCCCGTGCTCCACCGATTGAGCCAGCCAGGTGCCCCAGAGGTGCTTTGAATACTATACTAAGGGCTTCCTTCCATCAGACATTGAAAGCTGAGAGCAAGGACATATCTTCCACATATAACTACATTTATGGAGTGCCTAATGTGTGCCTGGCACAGCTCTGTACATGCATATTTACTCATTTAAGCTTCATTACACCCTTGTGAAGCTGGTATCAAAATTCTTCCCATTTTAGGGGCACCTGGGTGGCTCAGTTAGTTAAGCATCTGACTCTTGACTTCAGCTCAGGTCATGATCTCATGGTTCATGAGATGAGCCCATGAGATTGAGCCCTCTGTCAGGCTCCGCACTCAGCAGGGAGTCTGCTTGAGATTCTCTCCCTCTGCCCCTCCCCCACTCACATGCGCTCGCGCGCACTCTCTCTCTCTCAAATTTATTTATTTGAGAGAGAGAGAGCACAAACATGGTGAAGGGCAGAGGGAGAAGCAGACTCCCCGCTGAGCAGGGAGCCCGATGTGGGACTCGATCCCGGGACTCTGGGATCATGACCTGAGCTGAAAGCAGACGCTTAACCGATTGAGCCACTCAGGCGCCCAAAATAAATAAATCTTTAAAAAAAAAATTCTTCCCATTTAACATTTGAGGCAACTGAGCAAATTGCTAAAATGAGTTTTCCTGATTCTGTTCTTGCCCTTGCTGCTCCATGTCTGCATCTCCAAAACCCACCTCAAGATGTGGCTTGGTCATTTAGTAGTTTGGTTGTGAGTCTACTATGTACCGGGGTATAGGCATTCAGCAATTCCAGCACTCTGTGGGAAGGGTGGCAAGAGGTGTGTGTGTTGGGAGAGGGGGATGTCTCAATTCATGTGGAAATTGGGGGAGGAACATGGAACATACCCCCTTCCCGCTAGCACCAGCATTCCCTCCTGTCCATCAAATGGGGAAGAAGAGCCCGGAAATTACCCCTTGCCAAGGTGATGGCTCCAGGGCAGGGGCTGTGCATATTAGGTGTTCACTAAAAATATGTGAAAAATACAGGGATGAAGGTCTGATTGGAATCATTACATGAGCTAGTTGGTGCCCGGCACACAGAAGGTGTTCGATGCACACATACTGAAGACAGGAATGAATACATTTCAGTTAGGTAATGTGGAAAGGCTCTGAAGAGGTTACACTCTTTTTTTTTCCCCAGCATTATGAAAAATCTTATATAGTGTCTTCACACTCACCAAGCACTTCCATACACCTAACTAGGTTTGTAGGTTTTGTTTCCATTTATTTTTATTGTTTAATGACCACAGTATAGAATTAGATTATGCACACTTTCAGGCAAGGGCATAAGGTGTACCATAGTTTCTCTAAATTAGGAATGGAATTTGATCCTTTCAAAGGACCTTTTCATCTCTGAACTGCCATGGAGTTCTTAAGCCTCCAACCTTTTGTAGAGAAACACTTGTGCCTCTGGAATAGAAAATCTACACCAGAATTTGTGTTACATGGACAGGGTCTTAATAAATTTTATGGATCCCTGCCTGGAAGTGGTGGAGAAGGGGATGGAGATGGTGGTGGTGGAGGTGGGAGAGGTGATGTTTGAGGCAAAGCAGGTGGAGGTGGTGAGGTGACAGAGTAGTGGTGGAAGTCAGGGTGAATATGATGTAGTTGGTGATGGTGGAGGAGATAGAGGTAGTGGAACAGATAGATGTGGAGGTGGTAGACTTGGAGGAGGTAATGGAGGTGGTTGTGGAATTGGTCAAGGAGTGGAGGTGGTAGAACTGAGTGAAGCGATGAAGGTGGTGGTGGAGTGGAAAGAGGTGATGGACATGGTGGAGATGAGTGAGCTGATGGACGTGGAGTTGAGTGAGCCGATGGACGTGGAGGTGGAGTTGAGTGAAGTGATGGAGGTGGTGGTGGAGTTGAGTGAGCCGATGGACATGGAGGTGGAGTGGGTCAAGGTGATAGAGTGAGGGGATGGACGTGGTGGAGCAGCTAGTAGAGAAGGTGAGGGATGTCTGTCTGAATATGGGTACAAATGAGTGAGTGGATATGTCACTTCAATATTTGATGCAAAAAGAAATGTGCTTAAAAGTTGAGCTTGTTTCTGGGAATTAGCAATAAAACCCAAATAACCTAGGACCCCAGGGCAGGAGCAGGAGAGGGAGGCTCAGATAATTCACTCAACAGTCAACGTCACCCTTCGCTGTAGGGCCTGTGCAAAGAAGGGAGGGCAGGAAGAGACCTCATGCTTTGCTAAGCCCTTTCCACGACTGTTGAATTTGGGATTTGAGGCTAAGCCAAGTCTACTTAAAAAGATCATAGCACCGGGGCGCCTGGGTGGCTCAGTCGTTAGGCGTCTGCCTTCAGCTCGGGTCATGATCCCGGGGTCCTGGGATTGAGCCCCGCATCGGGCTCCCTGCTCCGCGGGAAGCCTGCTTCTCCCTCTCCCACTCCCGCTGCTTGTGTTCCCTCTCTCGCTGTCAAATAAATAAAATCTTAAAAAAAAAAAAAAAAAAAAGATCATAGCACCAATGATAGTTGGGAAAAAAACACAGGTCGAAACTTGTTTAGCTGAAGCCACAGGTTGGCGTGGAGTGATGGACTATGAAGTGGAAACGCTTATTCCTGTGCTTGCTTTTCCTAATAAGAGAAAATGGATGTGAAAGACCATAAGGCTTTACAAACATCCGGTGCTAATACTGTGGTTGGACTTGCTTAGTCCTTATGGAGATGAGCCATCACCACTCACTGAGCTCGGGGAATGGCTGCAAAAACCACAAAGAGCACGGCCATGTGGGGCAAGGAGCCCTTCACTCGGGGATTCATCCCAAGAGTCCTACAAAGGGATTATTATATCCCCATTTCCCACGAGGGAAGATTGAGGCCCCGATGGGGGAAATGACCTGCCCTACAACTGAGCCAAGACTCAACCATTCACTTCAAGAACATAGTCTGAGTTCTTAACCACCAAACTACACCATTCTCTCTGTGATGGGCCGGAAGTCTGCTAAGATTTCCATGGTTTCCAAATCACTCCTACTATCTCAGTTCTTCTCAGCAGACCATGAGCCACCTGGGGGGCGGGGGGCGTTATACTCACTCGGCAGACTGGGAAACTGAGGCCCAGAGGGGATGGTACAGCGAGTTAGGGGAACAGCCAGTGCTGGAATCCACAGCCCCTGTCACCCAGGCCCAAGCCAGAACAACCTGGATGGAGCCTGAGACCATGCACCTTCTCCAATGCTACAGTTGCTGGCTTTGCCTTTTAAGGGCAGGCCCTCTGCTTTTCTGCAGGAGCCTGACAGGACAGGGCATGACACACATGACCCACAGCAGGAGTCAGGCCTCCCTGACCAGGCTTTCCTTCTCTCTCCCGCTTTCTTTTCCTTCCTCCTGTCTTTCTATATGCCCTGGATGGTCAGAGTGGCCAGCAGCAACCTGCTCACAGTGGTGGCCCAGCCCACATCTGCAGGAGCGTTGGAAGGGGCATTCAAGGGAACCAACTGTGTGATTCTGATACGTCCAGGGAACAGTTGGTGGGAGCCTCCGAGACTGAGTAACTGGGGGTGCAGGGGACGTGGCCAACCGGCGTGTTGCCAGTTGAGGCTTTGGCAAGGTGAACAAGCAATACTAACAAGTGCTGACAGCTAACATCGACAGAGCGCTCTCTCTGTGTGCTTCTTGTGGCCACGTGGCGTGGCTTCATCATTACCTCCATTTCACAGTTAACAAAACTGAGGCTCAGGGAGGTAAGAGATTTACTCAAGGCTCAGAGCTAGTGGTGGAGTTGGG